GCTTAGGGTGACCTCTTCTTTGTTCATGTGATAGGTCATCCTAAATTGATTGTAGCTCGGAGGCAAAGAGTGAAGTACCATGTCGATTGCCAAGTCTTCCCCAAAGTCAACATTTAACTTGCGAAGGCGGTCGACATACCTTTGCATCTTTTGCAAGTGCACAGTAAGAGACTCTCCATGACCCATCTTAGCGGAAATCATGTTCGTGAAAATCTCATAACGCTCTTGTCTCGCATTTTGATGGTATATCTCCAATAAGTCTTGATGCACTTCATACGGATACATGTCCTCGTAGGACTTTTGGAATTCGGAGTTCATAGTCGCGATCATGATGCCATGCACTTTCGTTGCATCACGCTCGTGAGTTTCAAAAGCGGTTATTTCGGCAGGGGTAGCAATTTCGGGGTTGATTTTCTCGAGCTTCTCATCGAGGACATACTCCTTATCCTCATAGCGAGCAATCATGCGAATGCATCTTATCCATTCGCCAAAGTTCGTTCCATCAAAGGTGACCTTTTGACAAAGGCTCATCAAAGTGAAAGAACTCACAGCAGCATTGTTGGCGTTCGACATCTATAAATAGAAAGGACAAAGATAGATTAGAATATGAATCCCTAATTATCACCCAATAAGAAAAATTAGGTCTAGGATCCAACAACAATATTTACACATTAGAAAAGGGATGCCGTAATCTAATATGAAAACAATTTGAAGGTAAGTGAATGACGATTCACTAATTCTCCATCATGAAAAACATAACTTTAAGTCCTAAATGTATTGAGAATTCCTAGGTTTGGATGAGATTCATTGAAACTTTTTCAATGGCATGTTTAAATCTCGATATGCCCCTCTTGTTTGTGACTGGGATACCGAGGATCACAAAGCGGGTGTGAATTACCATGCAAATTCACATGGTGCCTTCATTGTAACGATCACCTATTCGATGTGCCGGTAAACCACACACGCTCCATCGAACTATGATAAACAATGAATCACCCTTTTCCACCTTCGCTTAGAACCAATTAGTGTGCTGGTAAACCACACACACTCCACTAACTTCTTAGCAAGGTGCAAAGTGTAATTTCATGGGATTGCATCAATTCACTTTTCCTAAAGTAACTAAGATTGGGAAATTTTAATAAAACATGTAGTTACTTTGTATTTCTTATTATACTTTTAATGAGAGGATGAGGTTGCCCTATCCTACCCGTTCGGCTAACGACCCTCCACCAATCAAGCGAGCGGTGGATGTGAGTGTACACCCATTAAGCGCCATTTTATAGGCCGCAACCTTATACCCACCTTATAGATCGACTTCGTGAATGAGGCCTACTAGCGGTAAGACTAGCATTTAAGTTATACATACATACATATATATATATATATATATATATATATATATATATATATATATATATATTAATCTTGTAATTTTATATTAGTATAGGGTTGTATTTTAAACTTGTAAAATTCTAGGGTTTGAAATTTAAATTGTCTAAATTAAACTTTTAATCACAAAACATAAATTTCAAAACTTGAGGACTAGTTTTAAACATTTAAAACATAAAGGATCAAATAACAAACAATTAATCACATAATTATCCATATTTGATTAATAATTATCATATAAGGAAATCAAATATTTTATTAATTGATAATTATCTTCAATTAGATCAAACATATAGTCATATATATCATAAAATCGGATTAGGGTTGATCTAATATGATTAAGGTAAGTTTCCATAAGATAAATATGACAAAATCCCGTTTTTGGCTAATCCTGACGCTCGGACTCGCCGAATACCCAAACTGGACTCGCCGAGTCCACTATGGGACTCGCCGAGTCCATGACTCAGAAACACAAAAATCGAATTTTTCGGTTAAGATTCAAACATTCAAGCATCAATTTAATAGAAACCAATCTAGGCTCTGATACCACTGATGGGTTTTGTACATAAGAACATTCCTAAGTGCGCATACAAACCCTAATGCTTGGATCTAGGTTTCTCTATTAAACATGCTTTGAATCCAAGGCTTCTAATGACTTATTAGGTGTAAGAACAACACAAAAATCAGATCTAGAAACATACCTTTGATTCTCGTGTTTGATCTTGTTGTCTTGGAGCTCTAGAGTCACAATTGTCACTCCTCTAATGGCTTACCAACACCAACTAGCAAAGAGGATGATTTGAGAGAGAGGAGAGAGGAGGAAATCGGCCAGGGTATCCTTACTTTAGAGGATGTGTTGAATTATCTATCCGATAAGGTCTATTTATACTTGTAGACTCCTTAAGGGTTACAACTTAAACCTTAGTTGGATAACTATTACTCAAAGCAATCCAAATCCTTCCAAGATAATGCCTTGGATGTATTTAGGACTTATCCTAGCCTAGAATTCGTCCAACCCTTTATCCAATAAGGATTTACAGTCTAAAGTTTAACTATCAAACAACTGACAGTTTATACCCTCTTATTTAATTAATCTCCTTAAGTCACCAAATTAATACTAAATAATCTATGACTTATATTAATCAAATAACTATATTATTATTTCTTATATTATTCTCATAATATATTAATAATATCTATTCTCTCATAATAAATCATCCTACCAAGTTGCTATGGTGAAGGCAACCCAAAAGGACCATGCACAATCGGGTCAAATACTTACCTAATATAGTTGCAGCCCTAGACACTATTCCAACAATTATGTCATAATACTGTCGGATCATACATTTTCCTATGGATTGTATGCCCTTCAGGGAAATTTTCCTGTATTAAAAATGACTATTTCTAGTGGAAATGCTATGTGTTTTAATATGGGGTTTCATATATGTGCACAAACAAACCATCGAAACTGTTATAAACTCAAGAACCTTGAAAACGAAATAACCTATGAACTCTATGAATACGACTTAATATTCGTGAAAGACTTACGAATTACCTACAATCATAAATACATCATAGGGATGTAGAGCGAAACATTGGGAATCCTACGACGAAAATGCGAAGCTTATAGAGTACAGCCGGAAATGACCACTGTTACTTATGATCCTGTTTATCATCATGCGACAGAAGATGTCATCCCGCATAAATAACTTGAGACTTAAGTCAGTAACAAATGAGTTGAAAGTGGTGGCAGTAGATGGATAGAATAAAAATTAAATCTTTCATCCAGTCCCCAAACGGAATTTAAATCTCCGAAAAATAGGCAATTACCACCTCTAGAAGCTTTTATAGTCTTCAATTCCTCCCATGGTTTTTTCTTCTCCGCTAGAGATTGTGGAGCATAAACATTAACAAGGTTGCTTTCATCTTGAACGCTAGACCAATTTCCTACAGTTTCTAAAAAGTACATGCTTTGGAAAGAAATGGGTTTATGGAATAGATTACTATCTCATAAACAGAGTAGATGTATGTACCGACCTATGGAATTGACGTACTCAAAATCAAATTCTAAATCCCCCCAACATATGAGGACATCAATATTTTCCCTATTTTTCATTTGTATTTATTGTAACCCTTTAAAGTTTATGTTGTAGGACGGTTTCAGTTTATGAACCCAACTTACTTTGTGGTCTTCTCCTATCCCTCTGAGGCTCAAGTAAAGAAAATGGGTGGGTACTTTGAGCACCGTTTCCCATAATCATAATAGAAATCTGTTCCATCTCTGTGTGAAATTGGAAACCTAATTATTTTCCAAGATTAATAGTGGACTCTACGTCTGAGGTTGAGACTGAGGAGGTTCTAGTGTTGTCGATGCAGATGGGTTGGGGGGAAGGATCATCGAGATCTTTATTAAAATCTAAAGGAAATGAGGTTGGTTTTTTTCTGTAAGGGGCAAATATGGATTGTACTCTATCGATTTTTCTTTTTTTGTTAAGTGAAGATTCCATGAAATAAAAAAAAAAGAATTGAGGAATTAGGTGGATCGATGGAGGAAGGTGGAATGGATTTTTTTGGAGAGGAAAATGGGGAAAAATACATGGTTGGCGGAAGCCCAAGATGATTAAACTTTAGCCCAAATATGGAATCTATGTGGAGGGGATTGATAGAATCTAAAACCTCAATAGTGAGACTGTCAACCTTGGGGGCAGGAGAATATTCTCTCTCTAATATTGGGTAAAATAACACATCAAGAAATAGAGTATTCTTTATCGCTTCCGTCACTTGCACTTCCATCAATTGAGTTTCGCCGGAGATAGGGTCACCGAATTCACCGTCACGTGCTGGTTCGTTCTGATCGGAATCAGGTAGACATAATTCACCATCTTCCAGATCTACATCGATGGTATCCTGTTCCCTTGTTTTTGAAACACCCTCAACATTCTCGTCTTCACTGTCATTTGTCTTCGATTCAGTATTCTCAAAAGGTGGGTTAACTTTGAAAGGTAACCAGTCCTCCATTGCTTCTATAACTCCCACCCTGTAGGTTTTTGATCCGACGATAATTGAGATTTCCTCATTTATCATCTTCCTTGAGGAAGTGAGAATGCCAATCTTACCGCATGATATGTCACAACTATTCCCGATACCATCTACTGGGGAAATGATTCTTTCGTATTGGTTGGCAATGGTGACATAATTTGGTCCCTAAACTTCCTCCATTTAAGCCATTTTTTCCATAGGGATTGGTTATCAAGGAACCCCTTTGCAACATTAGAGTGATTAAACCTTAAGATGATGTATAGTCCTCCAGGGTAGGAAGGCTTCACATCCTAAAATCCTTCAGGCTCAACGAAAGAAGGGATGTTTTTTGGGTGGTTAATGGAGAGGGACTCACCAATTATGGTGGATTTCTAAAGCTAAGAGACCATGTCTGGTATGGTTTTGAGACAGATTAGCTGACGGGCAAAGGGAGGATGAAGGCAAGTGGCACCTTTGATGGTATCGGCAAAAGATATGTGGTCCCAGTGGCCGGAGTTAATGCCAAAAGGAGGCCGGTATGCAAGAGTACGCTTAGGAGGAGCTTGTTTTTCCTACATCATAGGTTGACATTGCTACCTCGCCACATTGACTTTCAACATTGCATCCCGACATTTGATCCTGTCTAATATTTTCTCAAACTCTTTACTGTCTTTAGCTCCTTTGTATCTGACAAAAGCGAAAGTAGATCCACTAGAATCCTTCATATTGGAGTAGTGTACGTCTGTTATAGACCCAAACTTCAGGAAGATGTTTCTAGAGTCGTGTACGCTAATGAGACTATGAAAGTTAGATACATAGAAGGAGGTTATGTGATTCTGAGAGGGGCCTTTCACAGGTGGTTTTTTTATCCTGACTTCAGTCCAGCCATGCTCGTCAGCTCCTCTGTGACTTTTCGGATTTGCCAGAGCATCACCCATACTTTGAGAATTCAATGTTGTTTTTATCCATGTAAAATAATGCCATTTTATAAAATGTTGTTAATTTTATCAAAATATGATATTTGTTACCATTTGACATGGATAGAAGAATAAATAGAAATAAAAAATAAAAAGATATTGAGTAAATTACACGAATGGTCCTTGTGGTTTGAGAGAATTTGCACGTTTAGTCTCTAACTTTTATTGTAACTCGGACAGTCCCTATAGTTTGGTTTTGTTTCGCGTTTAGTCCCTATCAGACAAACTCTGATTCCTTTCTAAAGACTTCATACAACCTCAAACAATCACCACTGCATCTTCACAAACAGGTTGGAATGGAATAAGAATTTGTGAGGACTTTAGTTTCCATTCCATGGAAGAACACTCATCCAAACATTTACGGATGGAGAGATGCATAAATCAAACTTGGATTTATAATTGTGCTTTATTCCTAAACCAAAATCGTAGTAACAACTGGAATTTGAAGAAACCCAAATCGATGGTAGTGACAATGATGGATAGCATCGATGGTGGAATAAGGGTACGTATGGTGGGATAGGGCATGGGGAGGGTTGGTGGTGGGGACGATGACTCAGGTTTAGGGTTAGAGCCATGGTTGTTGCCATTGTTCTCAGTGATGATGGGTAATCTATGCTTGATGGTGGAGGTGGCGAACGATTGACATGTATGGAGTGAAAACCATTGTACCTATAAGAACGGGAAGAAGATAGAACAAGATGAGAGATAAACAGATGATAAAGGGGTGTGGGTGACTGGGTTGTTAGATTATGCAAAACTTAATCTGTATGTGCGGAAGCTTGCAAGGCCAGACCTTCAAACTTGAATCTGGATAAAAGAAGATACGAGAAGAAGAATGTGTACCTGCTTCCATTGAAGCTTTTGGATCTGAAGAACAAGCTTGGTTTTCCAGTTGATCTCAAGACAGCTCTAAGAACCCTTTGCAATAAAAAAACGAATTTGTGAAGTAATTTCGTTCACTTTGATTTGCTCCTCATCACATATATTTATAGATGGAGATAAACCCTAATGTGAGAGATGGAAGGGATCTTGAGGATCTTGAGTCAAACCGGGAACTCAAGCCACAAATGGTAAGTGAATATCGGTCCATCAACAATCTTATACACTTGCCATAATATTTGGATTTAAATGATAACAATATATATATGTTCATTTATAGAATGGTCCCATGATTTTCTAACAATCTCCCACTGGACCATGAGTATATAAATGTACATATAACCATATTAGCGCTTTAATGTATGTTATCATGATATTGGTACCCTTAAATAGTCTTGTCCATTAATCATAAATGTATAGGATCAATGCGGTCTTTGTTACAATTTACGTAACTAAACCATCAATGGTCACATATATAAGTATAACTAACGACATAGATTAAACATGATGCGTGGTCACAAAATCAAAATTGATTTCCGACGAGTTCCTCTTTAACTTGAAGTGAGATCAAACTTCAAATAAGTGCAACTAATAATGAAATTTACCGAATTCTTAAGTATGTACAGAAAAACATAATTGTTCTTAAACCAAAATAAAGCACCCAAAAATAAATTGTAAAACTCCCACTAAAACAAAATATCATCAATATTTATCACACCCATGTGTGTAGTATGCTCATGAAAGACCTTGGGAGGTAATCCCTTCGTGAGCGGATCCGCTATCATGGAGTTTGTCCCGATGTGCTCTATTGCGATTTTTCCATTTTGCACTCTTTCTTTAACAATAAGAAACTTAATGTCAATATGCCTTGACTTTGTGGAACTTCTGTTGTTATTGGAATACAACACTGCTGACTTATTGTCACAATACAACTTTAGTGGTCTTTCAATACCAATAATACGCAGCCCCGTGACTAAGTTCCGCAGCCATATTGCATGATCTGATGCCTCGAAACATGCTACAAATTCTGCCGCCATGGTGGAAGAAGTTACTAAAGTTTGTTTAGCACTCTTCCATGAAATAGCTCCTCCTGCTAATAAGTAAATGTAGCCTGATGTGGATCGATAACTGTCTTGGCATCCAGCAAAATCAGAATCAGAGTACCCAATGATCTCCAAAACATCTGATTTCCTATATGTGAGCATGTAGTCTTTTGTTCTCTGTAGATATCTTAAAACCCGTTTGGCTGCTTTCCAATGGTCCATACCTGGGTTGCTTAGATATCTCCCCAACATCCCTACAATGAAAGATATGTCGAGACGTGTACACACTTGAGCATACATAAGACTCCCAACAACCGATGCATAAGGAATATTCTGCATGTCTTTAACTTCAAGGTCATTTTTAGGGCATTGATCGAGACTGAATTTGTCTCCTTTAGAAATAGGGGTGTCTCCTGGTTTGTAGTTTTGCATGCCAAATCTTTCAAGGATCTTTTTAATATAGCTCTTTTGTGATAATCCTAGAATTCCACGAGATCTGTCTCGTTGAATTTGGATTCCTAATACAAATGAGGCGACCCCAAGATCTTTCATCTCAAAATTCTTTGAAAGAAATTTCTTGGTCTCATATAAGACCCCTAAATCATTGGTGGCAAGTAATATATCATCAACATACAAGACCAGAAAGATGTATTTACTCCCACTAAACTTGTGATATACACAATCATCTACTATATTTGCCTCAAAACCATATGAGACAACGATTTGATGAAACTTGTGGTACCACTGACGGGAGGCTTGCTTGAGTCCATAGATAGATTTATTTAGTTTGCAAACCATTTCCTTTGAGTCTTTCGATACAAAGTTTTCTGGTTGCACCATATATATAGTTTCATCAATGTCACCATTGAGAAATGCTGTCTTAACATCCATCTGATGTAACAAAAGATTGTAATGTGCAACTAATGCCATGATCAACCTAAAAGAATCTTTTGATGAAACCGGAGAGAATGTCTCTTTAAAATCAATTCCTTCCTTTTGAGTATAGCCCTTAGCTACAAGACGTGCCTTATGTCTTTCCACATTACCTTTTGAATCCCTTTTGGTCTTAAAAATCCATTTGCAACCAATAGGCTTTGTACCTTCAGGTAATGGAACAAGTTCCCAAACTTTATTGTCTTGCATGGACTTATACTCATCGTTCATGGCATCAATCCACTTTTGAGAATTTGAACTTTGCATGGCCTGAGAGAAGTTGATTGGATCATTTTCAATCATTCCATCTGGTTCTTCATTTTCTTGGAGATATACATGGAAATCCGAAGGGATTGCACTTCTCCTTTCTCTAGTGGATCTCCTAAGTTGAGGTTGTTGAGGTTGTTCATTATGAACAGGAGAGTGACTAACATTGTCTTGTTGAGGTTCCTGAATTACTTCTTCTCCGACAGGCACATTAATTTGTGTATCGTCAAAAGTAACAGTAGGAATCGAGATTGATTCCTCCTCAAAGACAATGTCTCTAACCTTATTTCTCCCCCAAACTCAACATCCTCAAAAAACGTTGCAGTTCCTGTTTCAAAAATTGATTTTGTTGCAGGATCATAAAACTTATAACCCCTGGATCGTTCAGAATAGCCAATGAAGTAGCTGCTAACTGTTTTGGAGTCCAATTTCTTTTCATTCGGCCTATAAGGCCTTGCCTCAGCTGGACATCCCCAAATACGAAGATGAGTTAAACAAGGCTTTTTCCCTGTCCAAAGCTCATAAGGTGTTTTAACAGCTGCTTTTGTTGGTACTCTATTAAGAATGTAAGCTGCAGTCTTAAGTGCTTCACCCCAGAGTGACTCTGGTAAAGTAGAATGACTTATCATACTCCTTACCATATCCTTAAGAGTTCTGTTACGTCTTTCAGATACACCATTCATGCTAGGCGAACCTGGCATTGTGTATTGAGGGACGATTCCACATTCCTCTAGGAATTTAGCAAAAGGTCCTGGACGTTGTTCACCTGATCCATCATATCTACCATAGTACTCACCACCACGGTCAGATCTAACACATTTAATCTTTTTATTAAGTTGGTTCTCAACTTCAAGTTTAAAAGATTTAAACACTTCCAGTGACTGAGATTTTTCATGAATGAGATATAGATACCCATAACGTGAGTAATCGTCTATGAATGATATAAAATATTGTTGACCATTCCAAGAAGCCGAAGGGAATGGTCCACAAATATCTGTATGTATCAATTCTAAGACATCTGAAGACCTAGTGGCATCTAATCTTTTGGTTTTGTCTGTTTTCCTTTGATGCATTCAACACAAATTTCAAATCTGTGAAGTTGAGGTTACTTAACACTCCATCTAACACAAGCCTATCAATTCTCATTTTTGAGATATGGCCTAAGCGTTTGTGCCATAATGTTGCCGAATTTTCATTATTTAATTTTCTCTTAGTACCACGTGAATCCACGTGCAAGGTTTCATTATATGAAGTAACAATATCAAGCATATATAACTTATCACAATACGTTAGAGAACCAGTACCGATAACATTTGAATTTAAAGACAAACTAAATTCACCATTTCCAAAAGAACAATAATAACCAGATTTATCCAATTTAGAAACAGAAACCAAATTGCGTCTAAAAGACGGTACAATGCAAGTGTCTTGAAAATCCAAATAAAAACCAGTATCTAGTAATAAACGAAATGTGCCAACTGCTTTGACTTCTACCTGCTTGCCATCACCCACATAGATATATCTTTCAACATCATTTGGTTTTCGGTAGTTCAGGCAACCCTGCATAGAAACACTTACGTGAGTAGTAGCACCAGAATCTATCCACCAAGTATTTATAGGTACAGAAACTAAATTAACCTCAGAATAGACCAAAGCACGGATTATACCTTTCTTAACTCGCCAAGCGTGGTATTTTGGACAATCCGGCTTCAAGTGACCAGGCTCTTGACAAAAGAAGCATTTAGGAGGTCCCGATTCCTTTTTCTTTTGATCATTGCCTAAATGTTGTTTCTTTTGCATTGGTCCCTTATTAGCAGCTTCTTTTCTATTTCTTTTGCC